ATATATATATATATATATATATATATATATATATATATATATATATATATATATATATACAATTTTTCGTATATATATAAATATATATATACACACACACACACAAAGTAAACAAAAAAATATATTGTTTTGGCTATTATTTTAAGAACGGCTATACAGTATTATTTTTATGAAACTACTAGTCATTTTCTGGTAGAAAAAATGACATCAAGTAGTCACTCTAAAGGTTTCTATTTAGGAATTAGTCAGTGAATCATGAGTTTCAGTTTTTCAGTTCAAAATTTCAGGATACAAAAATCTTATATTTTTCTGAAGTTAAGATTTTTAGTTTAAAATTTCAGGATAAAATATATACTGGCTAATTTCTAAATAACATCCATAAGAATGGCTATCTCGCCCTTGCCGCTTATTCTGGTCTTGCGTAAAGCTATTCGTTACTGGGCTGCCAATTGAACAAATATCCCATAATTGGTGCATTTTGCTGCTCATTAATTATGTGCATAAGCTCTATCTGCCATTAGTGTAAAAGAATTTGCCATTTATGAAATAAATAAAGAGTAGTATTATTTTCTTAAATATTTTTTGAAAAGTGCTCACCTGTGTATTTTTCCCAACAATATTTGTGTCTTGGAAAAAGAATTGGGATTTTTACACAAATAGCTAGTCGGGTTTACTATTTTGTTTTCATAGCCGGTATACATAAATTATGCACAAATAATACACGATTATATACATATTATACATGAATTATATATATTATACCTCCAATGATAATTTTTAGTTTAAGCGGTTGAGTGAGCAGCTATTTCAGATTAATTACGAGTTCTACTCACAGTGCATGTCCCCAGCTTGTTAACATTAATAGTCATTTCATTCAAAATTTCATCAACTAATTTGTAGCAAAGCCTATTTTTTACGTGTTTAAAATGAAAGAACTGAGTCACTAAAAAGAACAGTAAGGGAAACATTATGTATGTGTGTAAATTTGTGTACAACAACAACAACAACGACCCAGTATAATCCCACAAGTGGGGTCTGGGGAGGGTAATATGTACGCAGACCTTACCCCTACCCCGAAGGGTAGAGAGGCTGTTTCCAGGAGACTCTCGGCTCAAAAAAACAACAGGGGCCGATATATTAGTACCATAAAAATGCATAATAAAATAACAATATAAGAGATATGAAATACAGAATACGAAATACGAAATAGATGACTGGTATAGTAAAACTAGCAGGTAAAGCCCTGCATCAATAGACGACCAATGACATTCTTAGTCTAACNCTACAGCCAGTCGCTCACACCTCATCACCGGTGCATCAGTGCTCCTCCTCTGAATGTGCCCGAACCATCTGAGTCTCATGTGTGTAAATGTGTGTGTTCTTGAAAAATAACATGTATATATAGAATACTTGAAAATAATCCAAAGAAATTGAAACAAGAAAGAAGGCTTTAAAACCAACATAGTCTAGACACGTGTTACACACTTACAAGTCGAGTTATGATAGACCGACACCACTTACATAAAATGTTACATACGTCACTGCGATCTGGTAACAGTAGAGCATAAATAAAATAAAGAAACAAACGAAGCATCTGTGACCATAAGTTATTATATCCCCAAAATCAAACTTAAAATGGCTAAACTTAATTAAGTAGATGAAGAAAAGCCATGGAAAAACTCATGAATATGTTTGTTAATTACATCAGGCTTTTCTTGTTGCAGAAAATGGCCAACATTTTCCAATATAACCACTTCTTCTAGCAAAGGTACATCTTTCTTCATCCTACCTTTGTGTACATAGTCTTTGACTCCTGGGGCATTGTAAGTTAAGTCCAAATCTCCCACAATAAATTTTACTGGTACTTTCACTTTACCACCAGTCCATGCTGCTGTCAATTCCCAATTTCTGCATTTCAAAACCAAATCAACTTTTTTTATTAAAAAAAAAAAAAAAAAAAAAAAAAAAACTTTTTCCGACTATTAAATAGCTCAGAGAATTTAAAAAAATGCGAGAGAAGTTCTTGAATCTAACTCCAGTCTATCTATTTCTAGCCCCGTGGGTTAGAAATATGAATGTACTTATTATATTTAAAAATGCACTCTCAGACCTCAGTAATATGGAATGTCTAAAAGATACTATTTAGCCAAGATATGAATTAATTATACATGGCTGAAACCTGAAAATGGTTATTTTATATAAATAAAGAAGAAGAATTAACCTAAATAGCCGCCCATCCAACCAATTAAATTAAATATAATTGACGGATATATAAAATATGTATAATTCATGTATAATAAGTGTATCCGGTGCACTAAGCTCCCGCTATGCGCGGGATTCAGGGAAGAGTCGGACCACAAGGGTCTATTGTACGCAGTCTTACCCTCAGTGGCGACCCAAGATTTTATGCAAGTGGGTTCAATTTTAGAAGTACATAACTTTAGTCGTAAAATAGTAGTTGTCAAGTGGGTTCAAATAAATTATTTATACAAAACTTACGCAGCTTTAATTATAATTTATACATATAAACAATATTATTTTTTGATGAAGCAGGTTCATCACGTGCCACCACGTGCATCCGCCATTGCTTACACTGTATTTCTGCAAGAGATTGTTTCCACGGCTCGAACCATGGCAGAAACTTTATCAATTACGCCAAGGTTCCCCTTCTATAATAAGTGTATAACTGCGTATAACCTATGTATACCGGCTAGAAAACGTTTGTATAATTCATGTATAATAAGTATGTAACGGCCTGCCCGGTGTACTAAACTCCCGCTATGCGCGGAGTCCGGGGAAGGGCCAAACCACAAGGGTTTATTGTACGCAGCTTTACCCTGTATTTCTGCAAGAGGCTGTTTTCACGGCTCAAATTCGTAACCTTCTGGTCACATGACATCAACTTTACCGGTTACGCTAAGACTCCCTTTCTATAATAAGTATATAACTGTGTATAATCTATGTCTACCGACTAAAAAGAAGTAAACAATTCGACCGGCTATTTATGTAAAGATAAGAAGGTGGAATAACTTACAGGTCAATTGCTCTGTAATAATTCACTCCTCCAGTGAAGCCAGATTTTTCATATTTGCTAGCAATATAATCAACATCTTTTTCTGGTAGCCAAGAGGGCAAAATAACTGGATTGTCATCAAATGGCTTTCCTTTAGGCAAGTATAAAGGTCCAGGGTTACGATAACTCAAGAACTTTTCCAATACTTTTTTTGTGCCTATTTTTGCAAACTCTGCTTCTATTTCTCCAGGCTCCTAAATAAAATAAACATTAATGAATATTTAGACATTAGATTTAAGTTATATAAACTGAAATACAAAGAATTTTTACACTGTTAATGTACTTTAATGTGCCAAAGAAAAAATTAAATAGAATATCAAAAAAGAGGAGGGAAGCAAAGGGATTTTTTTTCCTTTTTTTTTTCTTTGCGTTGAGCTACACATGTAGCTCAACGGTCGACTAATTTGAGTTCGCGCAGAGAAAATGCATTATGGGTTTCTATGATCTCAACAACAACAGCATACCCAGTGTAATCCCACAAGTGAGGTCTGAAAAAGGTAGTATGTACGCAGACTTTACCCCTACTTTCAAAGGTTTCTATGATCTTAGATGAAACAAAATATAGTACTTGTCATTTGTGCGTCTCGACGAATATCATAGGCGGATGTTGGGTTCAACTGAACCCAATATTCTTTACACGAAGCATAGAAATATATATAAAAATCAATAAAATTTCAAAACAAAACAAAATACAGCGGGTTTAGGGATGAGAATATAAAGATTGAACCTATCAAATTATCATCTTTAGATAGATGTAGTATGCCCAGGAAGCAGACGTTCGGCAGGATTTGAAAACTTTTGGGTTCAGTATTCTAGTTCTTTTAAGTTATTGGGTTCCAAATTAATAATTTATACATATTCAATGAATTTTTTTTAGACAAATATAGGGTTTGGACCAAAGCTACTGAGTTCAGCCGAACTCGTAGCCGAAAGGTAGCTGGCTGCACCCCTGCAAGGAAGTACGTACTGATTTATTTAAATCTTGAATCTGTCTCTATATACATGTCAACAAAACATAAAATGATGAAACATCAAAAGAGAGAAGTGGTTTAAGAGAACCTGAAATCTAACAATATAATAGTCTTCTCCATAAACAGCACACAGTGTTTCAAGTGGCTTTCTCTTAGGATTTCTAGGAGAAAATGCCACACTTAAATTAACCAAAGCCTTGACTTTGTCTGGCCTAAACAAACATAGAGCCCAAGCAATAATTGCACCCCAATCATGTCCTACAACAAACACTTTCTCTTCCTTAGGTGCAATGGTATTCAAAAGTTCCACTAAATCACCCACAACTTGTAAGCTGGTGAACTTGCTCGGGTCATCTTTCGATACTCCTGTTAAAGACAGATTCAGAATTTAAATTATATAAATTCAATATTTTAAGCTCTTTCAAAATTAAGAATTGAAAATTTACTAGTAATATTTAAGGAAATGGGTAAATAGAAATACTCATACTAATATTTTATCATCTGTTATACTTTGGATCATTCATTCCATTGCTAATAGCAAATCCTGTGTTGCCTTTGTCCTTGGTCTTAATAAACACAACTTTAACATCATAGGCAAATTCAGAATTTAAATTTTATGGGTTCAGATTGCTAAATTTACCGCATCTCATCTAATTTAGTGGGTTCAAAATTTATTAATTGTACATATTTAATATTTTTTTGTGCAAAAGTATAGGGTATGAACAAAAGCTATGAGTTCAGTTGAACCCATAACTTTTACACTGCATATGCCTCTATTCAGTATGATGGGTGGATCTCATGTGTCAAAATACTTCGGAAAAAATTGTCTTCTATCTACTTCTGATATAGTATATAATTATCCTTAATTATACTTCGGTTAGAGCTCCATTAGGCTCCAAGGACAAATATAATTCGATATAACTGCAATGATATGAATAATCCCAAAGTATAACGAAGAATAAAATTAAGATATTTCATACAACGGAAGGTCCCCTATCTACTTTTGGTATGGTTTAGAATTACACTTCCTTATACTTCAATTAGGGTCCATGTCGGAACTCCATTAATTAGGCTCAAAGACACAATACAATTCCATATGACGACAAAGATATGAATGACTCCAAAGTATAATGAAGAATAAAATTAAGATATTTCATACAACGGAAAGTCCCCTATCTACTTTTGATATGGTTTAGAATTAGCCTTCGTTATACTTCAATTAAGGTCCATGTCGGAACTCCATTAATTAGGCTCAAGATACAATACAATTCCATAGGACGACAAGGATATGAATGACTCCAAAGTATAATGAAGAATAAAATTAAGATATTTCATACAACGGAAGGTCCCCTATCTACTTTTGATATGGTTTAGAATTAGCCTTCGTTATACTTCAATTAAGGTCCATGTCGGAACTCCATTAATTAGGCTCAAGATACAATACAATTCCATATGACGACAAAGATATGAATGACTCCAAAGTATAATGAAGAATAAAATTAAGATATTTCATACAACGGAAGGTCCCCTATCTACTTTTGATATGGTTTAGAATTACTCTTCGTTATACTTCAATTAAGGTCCATGTCGGAACTCCATTAATTAGGCTCAAGATACACTACAATTCCATATAAAACAAGGATATGCATAACCCAAAGTATATGAAGAGTAAAATTAAGATGCCGGACCATAAGGGTCTACTATACGCAGTCTTACCCTACATTTCTGCAAGAGACTGTTTTCACGATTCGAACCCGTAACCTACTGGTCACGTGACAACAACTTTACCGGTATGAAGAGTAAAATTAAGATATTTCGTACCAGTGGTATCTCCAAAGCCACGTAGGTCAGGAGCGACAGCGCGATAACCATGTTTAGACGCGAAAGAAATTTGGTGCCTCCATGAATACCATAATTCAGGGAAGCCATGGATGAAGAGAATTACTGGACCTTGACCTGCTTCTACAACATGCATATTTATGCCATTCACTACCACTGTTTTGTGCTCAAAACAATCCTCCATTTCTAAATTTTTCCTCGGAAAAAAGAAAGCACGAATCTATTACAATCTTTAGTAGGAATAAAAATGTTGGTTCTTCGTTCCGTCCTTGACCTATGATATGAACAAGTTGATATTTAGTGTGGAAAGAGATTTTTTGTGTTGAGAATGTTCCATATCTTTTATCTTTTGGGCTATATTTGTACACCTCATAAAGGTTAAATACCAAAGGGCGGTACATTAAGTTTCCGCTATGCGTGACAAGAGCCGAACTACAAGGGTGCATTGTAGAAAAAATGACATTGCATAGCCGTTGTAAAAATAATAGTCGAAAAAATGTATAAACTTTTTTATATTTTTTTATATATACATTTTATATATTATATACAAAAATTATACAAAATTTTATATATTTTTTTTGACTATTAAATACAAATGATTTCCGGTGCGGGCTAAAAAAAATAATACCCTTCAATTGCATTTGTGCCAAGACGCAAAAAGGTTAAATAGTACTGTTAGAAAATAGAAATATTCGTCTTAATCTGCCCATGTGAAATGGTACGATTCTATCTTCCTGATTTTCTCTATTTTCCATTGGTAGTTATAACAGTGACCATTTTTCTAGGCTTATCTTTCTATTTTGATATATTTTCAGTAATTGTACGTCAATTTAAGATCCCGTTTGGCTTAGTTAATTTAGAGTAGCTGATAAGTATTAGGTGCTGAAAAATACTTTTAAATGCTAAAGCTGATTTAAAAAATAAGCGATTATGTATTTGAATAAAAGTGCTGAAATTAATAATAAGCAACTGAAGAATTGGGTATACGAAGAGTTTTGTTTTAAAAAGAAATATTTTATGGATTGAATAGTACATATTTTGGTCAAATCTAAAGTGCTTATAAGCTGAAATTTGATAAGTTGGGGGAGACCAACTTATGACTTTTGGCTTATTTTTGGCTTATAAGCACTTTTAATTTTATCAAACGTGTAGATAAACCAAAAAATACTTATAAACCAATTTGATCAGCTTATAACCTTAGCCAAACACCATCTAATAGCTTTTGGAGTCAAATAAGTGCTTATTATTTTATTTTTAATTTAAATATATGTATTTTAAACTTCAACTGAAAGTGTGTGTACATATATAAGTAACTTCAAAATTAATATTAGAAGGTAAATTATTTTGAAACGGAAGTAATTATAACTTTCCCATCTATGCCAAATATATCTTACCTAACCCTTTAATAGAAAGGGAGTGAAATCGAAATTATTAGACTGAGAACTTACTTTAAACAGTAGAAACATCAAGAGATATTAAAGAGGTCCCATTTTTATTTCTTTGATATATCCACCTCTGCTTTTTTGCTTTACAGTTGGGGTCGTTTGGTACGGGATATAAGAAGGTATATGGGTGGTATAAAATTTTAATACTATCTTATTATTCTGTTTAGTTAGCAAACCAGGTATAAGTTATCTCGGTGTTAAAATTAACACCGGGATAACTTATACCTTATAGAGGGTGGGGTAATTAGCACCGATATAACTTATACTTTCTTCTTATAAATTATACAATTATCATTCTTAATACAACATACCAAACAGTGAATAAACAACAATTCCGGCATAACTAATCCCAGCATAACTTATACCGGCATAAGCCCTATTCCAACCAAACGACCCTTTATAGTCCTGATCGACTCGTGAAATTTCACAATAATGGCACAAGTGTTATTTATGAAGTATACGGAATTTGGACAGGTGGAACGAACCAGGGGCGGAGGTAGGGTTTGGCCGTCGGGTTTATCTAAATCCAGTACTTTCGATGCGGAGCATAAATTTATGTGTAAAAATTCATTAAAATTACAACAAATGATAAATCTGAACTCATAACTTTAAAAATACAATGAGTTCAATACTAAAAATCTTAAATGTTGAACCCACAAATTTTAAATCTTGGTTCCGCCTCTAACCAACATGTCCAAAGTTAACAGTTAACATGATAATTCATCAGCAGCTACCAATCTTGTCTATCACTTCTTTGGAAAAGTTCAATTGCTCCAAGAAAATCAGCTAAAATTAGGGATGTGAAATTTCGCGTACAAAAACTATCCAATATTGCTAGCTTTCTAACAGCTAAGGCTGTGGGCCCGGGGTACGTGGCCTTGGGAAGCTATCCTCCAGATCGCGATTGTACGGGTCAAAATCTGATCGTAGTGGTCTACCAAGTTGAGATCCCGCCCAAGTGGCGAAATAACAAAGAACATCTCGGCCGACCTCGGGGTCAAATCATCGAAAGCATACGTCAAGTCAATACTGTGTTCGAGTAATGACGAAAAGGACAGTCGCAGGAAAGCATGTTGGTCAAAAACCATTGAATAGAAGTTCTAGGAAATATATATGGGGATAAGCACAAATAAAATGGTGACTTTACAAGAAAAGGAAGAAAAACAGACAGGGAGGAAGAACAAGAAAAATAAGAATGGGAAAGAAGAATCTCTTCGGATGAACAATTGCTTCACTTTTTCCTCTTTACTCCTTCATTTACAATTTTTTTTTGCTTCAGATGTAAGCTCATCTCTCGTGTTTGATGTAAGATTATGACATCAATAAATCTAATTTGTTCCTACCTTTCGTTATTTCTCGTTGTATATGTTTGGATCTAAAATTAATTGTGCTTGGCTAAGATTTACCTTCTTTAGTATTGATAATTGAAGTTGGCAAAAGAGTCTTAAACTTTTTGTTCAAACAATTTGGCGCCGTCTGTGGGGATTTCTTAGCCAAATTCCCTAGTTTTCTTCAGATCCAAAACCGGCGAAATGTAACCACCCACCCGAAAGAGTGGTAAGTAAACCTCACATGCTGATCAAGATTAGGCTGCTACATAAAAGCAGAAGTTACAACCAATATCCACGCAAAGCCCACAAGAGATAACGACACCTACTGCGCTATCCTGTAAGAGAATGGGCACATCCTGCCATACTCCCACATTCCCCTGTACATCGGATGATCCATGAACAAAGTATAACATGTATCCCTTGTTGTGGGTACGAATCAGACGAGATCGAACTGGGACTCGATTTCAACACTACAACAGTTAAGGCGAACCCAGCCCACGCGGAGCTAGGGCACCTCTAAAAAAAAGAGGAAGTCGAATACGGCCGCCGAATCTAAAAACCACCATTCCATCAACCATTAAAATTTCAGACAGAACAAGCAATGCTATAAGGATACCCTCATTCACCGACTCATTGGATCGAGGTAAGGAAAATCTCGTTCTGGTTTACCCTCTGTTGTTAGTTTAAACAAGAACACAAGCGCCGCACGGGCAAGCGAGCAATGGGGCATTCCAACTAGAGACAATGAAAGGAAAACTACTACAAAATAAGTGGAATGTCGCCCACCTCAAACACTTCAACTTCTGAAAATGACGCCCCTCAAGTCATACTCTCTTTCCCTCACCCGGGTTTCGTCCCAATTGGGTTTTCTCGAGGAGGTTTAACAAGGCGAGGAGGAGGACGTCTCTAAGTTCAAGGTATAATTCATCGCCCCACCTACCGACGAGCTCTCCAGGCCAAACGATGAAGGGACTAGATACAGGAAAATTCCAATATATGCATGAAACGAACGCATACTGCACCCCCCAGTTATCGAAGCAGCAACATTTTATACTCCCTGTCATCATACTCCCTAAGGCAAATAAAATTAAGCAAACTGGGACTCACCTAGGAAATGTAGAAATTAAGCAAACTGGGACACACCCAGAAAACACAAAAGTTAAGCAAAACTGGAACTCCCCCAGGGGACACCCACAATTCTCCAAAAAAAACAAGAAACAAAAGAGAAGAGTTTGACCTCTTTCGAATCATAACGGGTTAACATTTTGACATTAGCTCGAAATAACACCCCTACGACCAAGGTTCATCGCTAGAGAGAAGAGTTCGACCTTGTTCGAATCATAACGGGTTAACATTTCGACATTAGCTCAAAATAACATCCCTACGACCAAGGTCCACCGCCAAAGATAAGAGTTCGACCTCGTTTGAATCATAACGGGTTAACATTTCGACATTAGCTCGAAATAATACCCCTACGGCCAAGGGCCATCGCCGAAGAGAATAGTTCGACCTCGTTCGAATCATAACGGGTTAACATTTTGACATTAGCTCGAAGTAACACCCCTATGGCAAAGGGCCATCGCAAAAAGGAGAGTTTGACCTCGCTCGAATTATACGGACTAACATCCTAGTCTTACTCTCAATAACGCCTTTGCAGCCATCGATCGTCGTCAGACATATTTTTTTACATACTAAGAAATTGATTTCGCTGCAAGATTCAAGTTCAACCTCGCTCGAATATATATGAAAAGAGCGACTTTTCCCAAATCAACAACAGTTCAATCCCACTCGAATGACTCAAGTCAAGACTGTCCAAAACAACGAATACGAATACAACCTCGTTTGAGTCAAAGATGAATCTACTTAAAGCGACAAGTCAAAATTCAATCTCGCCCAAATATGTGAATCCGAAGAGACTCCATTCGGACATATGCGACGAAATCCTACTCGATCCGGTTAAAATTGGTTTCCCTAAAATATCAGGAATTCACCATACAAAAATCTGAAAGTCTACGCCAAAGCAAAAAAATGTGTTAAGCAAGGGGAAAGGAGAGAAATACAAAGGACGTACAACGACGAAAACCCCTTTTATTTAGACAGTTGCGCAAATGGCCGCAGATTATACACGGCCAAAACCGGCCCAGTACAAAAAATAGAAAGAAAAGACAAGCAAAAAAAAGACTAAGGTAACAACTTTTCACTCAGCGTCATCACCGACGTCCTCCCCATCACCATCTCTAGGAAATTCCTCCTCAGCGTCAACATCTTCGTTGACCTCCGGTGTCACAAGATCGTAGCCACAGTTAACACGAGCCTCTCGTGCCTTCGCCTGAGCTCCTTCATAAGCGGCCTCAGAAACATTGCCCGCTTCCCACACAACTCTTGTATATGTCCCGCTGGCTTCGACATGGACCGAAATCTCGTGCAAATGGCGAGGAACAATGGCGGAGGTAGATTCGACTTGGGCCAATAATTGCGCCTTTTCGGCCTCAAGAACAGCGACGTGATCTCCCAAGTTTGAAGCTTCCCGGTCAATTTGCCAATGCGCTATTCAAGCCTCGCCTCAT